TACCCGGAGAAAGCTAAGCGGAAACTTACGTGTCACTTTTTTGGGAGAATTTCCCGTGGAAACACTCAGGGGCTAACCATCTCACTGGCAGATAGCGTACAGCCGGAGAATTTCCCGAAAACTTGGGATCGTCAGGATCGGAGCAGAATCCGAAGCCAGAAATCTGTAAAATGTAAGCGATCTCATCCTATATCGAAGATAAGGTTGTCGAAAAAAAGGACTCACTTTAGCTCGTAATCCAGTAGTTAGAAGTACATTTCTAGCAGCCAAGTCACGATGAATTAGATTGCGGGAATGGATGTAGCTCTAAATGAACACTTTGGCCGCAGATGAAGAAAAGTGGAGCAAAAATGCAAAATCAACTTTTTATATTATGATAACTGCTGTTTTACGCCTCAGCTCGTGCTCCAGCTACCACAGAAATGCTGAGTTATGGGCAAAAGTTGAACCTCGGGCGGGAGCCGAATCCACACCCCACGCTTTCCGGACGAGTGCGCTATCCGTTACGCCACCAGGGCCTCTTTTACCTTCTCAGCTTAACGGTTTGTATGCCGTAGCCTATAGCTTATATGTTAAACGTGTGAGTGCTGATAGGCTACGGCATGCAAGCAGTTTGAGCTAAGAGGGTAAAAGCGGTTCTGGTGGCGTAATGGATAGCCACTCGTCCGGAAAGAGTGAGGCACGGGTTTGACTCCTGCATGGGGTTCGACTTTTGCCCATTCCTGTGACAAGATCAACCATTCTCGCAGTCCCTTGGATTGCGACAGTTCCACGACAGACCACTGATACCAAGTAAGTTTATACTGGCCCAGGGATAAAGCTGTAAATCGAGTTTCAACTTACCATTCCATCACAAATCTCCCATATGATCTTGAAAAGCATCTGGTACGGTATGTACGCAGTAGATTTAGCATCACCTCCTGACACTCTGAAACAGTTTTTTGAAGCACTGCATCACTCGCGCCTCACGAGTTTGCATGACCTAAAGGAATCAAACATGTAAAGCCTAATGGTTTAGAAAATTTTCTAGTTCCCATTTATATTACTAGTTCCATCTCTGAAAAGTTTCATTCCATATGACACGAACAAGACGCCGCAAACCTAATAGTGGAGATTCAGGCGACCGTGACACACTATTGACCGTGACAGACTGAAGAGCTTCATCTGGGTTGAAATTCAAAAGATTAACTCAGAATATCTGCAGATTTAATTTTGCTTGCTGGGTTTGGGCTCCCCTGAGATTGCCAGTTAGAATGCACATACTTACAGAAACGATGGGAGTCCGTCTTGAATTTCACATTGTCTGACGGTAGGCCAAGGAGGAGTTGGAGGCTGATTACGTGACTAATCGAACTTTTCCGGATGGTCCTGCTGTGATACTTTGTATGCAGATAGTGAGAGGACGGCGGTCGTCAAAGCGTCATTAAGTAGCGGGAAAAGGTGGCGAGTCAGGGGTTGGGATTCTTCAAGATGTGAGGACTCCTGGGCGGGTGAACCACTTATCATGCTTGAAAAGTTGCAATCTGTGAGTTCACACATAGAACGCAAGGAAGTCCAAAGAAAGGAGAGACAGAGGAGAAACAGTCCATTGGCGCGATCAAAGGGGTCGAGTCCGAGTTTTCCATAGATCAGTAAAGCCACGTGCGCATCATCAGGCAGCGTTCAGACTTGTCGCGCTTCAACGCGCGTCGATGGCAGCTCTCCAACGCGTGTAATTGTAGCGTGTTCAAAGGCGCGCTGCTGCCCTTAAACACGCTACAGTTCCACTCCACAGACCCCAGCTTCCCTTACATTCTTTCTTCCCGGTATTCAACCCTTTTTCACTGTTTCTCATTTCCACCTGATTCTTAGCTCCTCTTTTTCACTTTAAAACTGAAATGTAATGTAGTTTTCGATACAGGACACTGAGAGTGATCTTATATACCGTTTCACAAAAACTCGTCGCCAAAAATGTCAAAAACTCGAAAAACTCAAAACTTCGCCAAAAACGTCAAAAATACATTAAAATTCAATGTCAAAGTGAAAAAGAGGAGCTAAGAATCAGGTAGAAATGAGAAACAGTGAAAAAGGGGTTGAATACCGGAAGAAAGAACATAAAGGGAAGCTGGGGTCTGGTACAATTGGAGTGTAATTGTAGCGTGTTCAAGGGCAGCAGCGCGCGTTGAAGCGCGACATGTCTGAACGCTGCCTTAGCACGCGGTCACCTACTCTGCTAGTTTTAGACCGCATTCATTTGGGGTCTAATGGTTTGTATCTAATGGTATGCTCGAGCGACTGGATCGCACGATCGCTCCACCGCCAAATGATGCACCACAGCAACTGCAGAA